TAGGCCTGTGGAGGATAATGCCAGGCCAGTGGTTGTGTGGAGTTTTGAGGTCACCTTCTGTCCTCTCCTTATTGGGAAGCCCTGTGGCAACCAGCCCCACTCATCCTTCAAAGTTAAAACAGAAAATTGTGGCAATCCCTGATGGCGCAATAGATTAGGATGCAGCACTGCAAGCTTGCTGAAGCTGCTTCAGTGAAAATTTGATCTCAGCCCAGAGGTGATTCACATGGCAGAGGTGATCCACATGGTGGACGTGATCACATGGCGCAGCAGACCTCTCCTGACCCACCTGCTGCTCCCCTCAGCAGGGTATTTCGTCATGCTCCCCACTCTGTTTTTGGTGAATCCTCTCAATGCCCCTGCACCTCTGGCCTGTACCCCAGTTCTGTATGCATAAATAAATAAATCTTTAAAAAAAAACAGAAAATTGCTTATTCTCATTCTGAAACATAAAATGCTCTAGAGGTGTCCATGTTTTGTGACCCTCTTACCTTAACTTCCATGGGTGAGAGTTCACTTATTGTTCCTACAAGCAGAAGCCCTCTGTATTCAGCAAGGTGGAGAATTATAAATGGTACTTTACATTACATAGATTGCATCAGGAATGCATATCTTTCAGGAGATTGAAATGATGCAATGATCTCTTGAGGAAGGCCTAATCTTTTGTTTGTGTTCAGTTTTAGATTCATTAAATCTTCTTGGGCAGCTTTATAATTTTGTCAACTTCCTTTTTCTTTTTAAATTAAGATTTCTTAAAGTGTAGAGAATAAGGGTACTACTGGTGCTTTGGTTTGTGGGAGAGTGACAGTAACCACATCTGTGGGGAGAAATCCTGCACTTTCAAAACATTAACAAGAATATTTAATAATGGTACTTAATTAAAAATTTTTTACTTAACAAAAAGTAAAAAAGATATAGTGAGTAAGCAGGAAAATGGCTAAACTATAATTTTTTTTTTAAGATTTACTTATTTATGCTTACAAAACTGGGGTAAATGCCAGAGGTGTGGTGGGTGAGAGGATTCACTAGAGACAGAGTGGGAAACAGAACAGGCAGATTGACAAAGTACACGGCTGAGGGGGGCAGTGGGCTGGTCAGAAGAGTTCTGCCAAGCCATGTGGGTCAGCGCCCTGGCCAGGTATCCAACTTGTACTACAATGGCTTCTGAGAACTTCATAATGCGGTGCTTTAACCTGTTGTGCCACCAGGGAGAGCCCTCTATACAGTTTTTTAAAAAAGACTTATTTGGGCCCTCCCTGGTGTCGCAGTGGTTTAAAGCACAGCACTAAGAAGCTAAAGCCACTTCAGCAGGAGTTTGATCCCGCGCCCCGGTGGTGATCCCCCGCGGTGGTGATCCCTGCCACCCCTCTATGAGCCCCACCCCATGACCCCTGCCCCGGAGGTGATGCACACGGCGCGGTAGACCTCTCCTGACCTGCCTACTCTTCCCCTCAGCAGTGTAGTTAGTCACTCTGCCTGCTCTGCTATACAGGACTGGGGAACAGGCTAGAGGTGCAGGGACCGTACAAGGATTCATCAGAGATAGAGTGGGGAGCAGAACAGGCAGATTGGAGAAATACACTGCTGAGGGGAGGAGCGGGGCTGAGAGAAGCAGTGGGAGAGACAGGCTAGGTCTGCTGCACCATGTGGGTCACCACCCTGACCAGGATCCAATTTGTGCTGAAGCATTGGGCCTGGTTAGCTTCGTAGTGCTGCAATTTAACCCATTACGCCACCAGGGAGGGCTCTTTATATAAAAAACAGATAGGTGGAAAAATAGGATGCTAAGTGTCTCCCAGAAGCAGCACTAGCTTGCTTCACTAACCACCATCCAAAGGAGAAGTTGCTCTCCTCACTCTCACTGGTATGTTTTCCTTGCTTCCCCACCTTTGTATGCACCCCAAAAGAACAGTGTAGTTTTGCTTCTTTTTTTTTTTAAACCCATGTCTGTGTTGCTTTACATTTTATGGGCAAAATCCCCTTAGACTCGACCTACAGCCTGAAATTTGTCAAACGGTTGTCAAAGCTGATCATCTTTCTGTGATCTTTTGACTTGTCTCCATCCTGAGGTACCATCCTCCAGATAGTGAACACTTCTGTTGTACTGACCTGTGGCTGCTCTCTACAACACTGAGGACAGGCCCTCTTCATCTTAGCTTCCACACAGTGCGTGGCATGCTTTGCCCATAGAGATGACTCAGGAAGATTCTTTCGAGACATATGGATCTGTGCAGGATGGCTAAGTGCAGGACATTCTGGACTTCTAATTATTGTCTGAATATTGCCAATCACTATGTCAAAGTTAATAGAATGAAAGAAAAATGAGGGATGGTGGTAGAGAAATTCAGTTTATAACAGTTTCACTATCTAAAAGCTGGCAAAGAAAAATAGGTTTTGTTGATACTGCAAATAGTTTATAAGAATAATCAGAATATTTTTGGATGATTGAACTTCAAATACTTCCATAGCTCAGAAGCAGCACATTCTCTTCAAACCACTTAACTTGGCAATAGTTAACTCATTAAGGATAGTAACAATGACATTCTTCAGGTTTGTTATTTTGCTTAAGATAGTCCCTAAACATTTCAACAGAGAACCACCAAATTAACAAAAAATCCACAAAACTTCAAAAGGGTAACTAAGTATGCCTAGGATTCAAGCATATATAGCACAAAATGACTACTTAGGGTGAGTACTTACAACATGCTTCTGTTTTGAAAGCCTAACACATCTGAATTTTGTGGCATATATATCAAGCATAGATATATGCATGTATACACATACTGTGTATATATATTATGAACATCATGTATATAACATACACTACATATATAATACACATCACACACATATACACTTTGTATATATATTATGTATATATATGTGTGTATATATTTCAGATAATGTCCACTCTGCTAGTTCTACAATAGTTAAAACCACTTTCTAAGCTTTACAATTTTTATTGTAAATATAAACATTTCAACAATAAAGTTGTATCAGCATTAAGTACCTCTTGTAGTCTAAAATAGAAAGCTGTATGGAAAAGGGGAGAAAGGACACATACAGAAGGAACCTGGGCTGGTCATTCTGGAAAAACTGAGTTTGTGTCTGATACATTTTTGCCATTTCCATGAAACATGCCTACCACTGTTCAATGAAACTGCTGTACAAACTAAGTGAAAAATTGAGTTGTCCAGGATGAAAAATATATGTAGCAGTTGTTTAATAACTCACACTTAAATTCTATGTTTAAATGATATAAAGAATAATTTTTGACCATCCCTCTGAATAGCTAATCTATTGGCCAGCATGCATGGATTAATAGTTTCTTTATACTTTTCAGGCTACAGCTAATGTGAGATTCCCAAAGAAATCATTTCCTCATAGAATGACTGATACAATTGTGGGGAGAGAGACGTTATTCAGAACATTATCTATTTCGTTCCCAGTCAGGTAACTCATCTACTTTTAGCTTAACTTCTAAAGAAAACTGCTATGATGTGAAGAGATTGGCCATAAAAACTGTTTGTATTGAAAACTTAGCCAGCATGCCTTTAGTGAACTTCATTCATTTGCATTCTTCCTGGCAAGGTTTCCATATCTGTGTTCATTTTATACTTTAATTTGGTGAGTAGGTCTTTGTTTAATCGTCCTATTGAAAGGAGCACAAAGGCAGTTTAGGTGATACAGTAGGGGAATCCATATATTTTATCTCTGAAAAAAAGCCCGACAGAGCTAGAGTGCTCTGATACCCTCTGATTTTCTTCAGGACATTTGGAACCACGAATCAACTGGAGGAGAAAGATCTTCAGTGTACTTTACTGCAGACACCTTCAGAAGAGAAACACCGTGTCAGTCATGAAATGACACATTGCCAGCGACACAAGGCTCTGAGGGCAGATTATCTCCCCAGAAAAGTTTCTGTTTCCTGGGACTGAGGGTGGCCTGTGTATCTTAAATACCAACTCCTCTCCAGTCACACTGCTAGCCAGGGCTGATTTTTGTGCTACTTCTCTTTGTAAAAGTCTATGCTAAAGTCAGGTGATAGTGCTGGCAATAAATGCAAACAGTCCTCGAGCTTACTTACAAGTGGAAGACTTCTAATGTGCCAAAGGGAAATACTTTCCATTCTTTTGCATGGAACTCTCTCAATCACGGTAGTTCTTTCACATTCCTGTTGCTCTGCGATTTCCTTCTCCCTCGAGTCCAAACCGGTGTCTTTCTCACTGCTGCGGATCCCTCATGTTTTTCTCCTGATTGAATCATCTTTCCTAATTTACCCCTCTCCCATCTTGTTCAGTTCATTTTTTTTCTTTCCCTACTTTATTTCACTAAGGGAAGTGAATCACTCCCCATTCTCTTGATAATTAATGTCTGTGGCATTAGTAAGTTGTTCTTTTTCTTCAGTACTGCTTTCTGAAGAATCATTATGTCCAACTCTAACTTTTCTTGTAGCACAGGTGTTTCATTTTCTAATCCACATTTCTTCTTGCAGTTTCTTGAACTTCCTTTGGTTGGTGTATGGACAGCCACCCAGTAGCGACTGAGACCTCCAGTTCATTTCACACAGGCCACTGAGCAGTCAGAAGATGGTAACAACTTTTGGTCTCTAGTGACCTGGACTGGATTCAACTCACTGACCTAGAGGTGAAAGGCTCTGTATTCCATTACTAATCCCTTGAGCTATCCAGCCCCCTGAAAATGATTCTTTGGTTTTATTATTGCAAAGGCCATTTATAAAATCATGAACTGGATTTAGGAAAGCAACCATGAAATAGCAAGGGACAACAAACTGATTGAAATTCCTTCAATGTATTACGGGCTGAAGTCTCTCAGACAGTAGGATTGGGGGAAAAGTTATATAGAGAGCACCTCCATTCTTATTTCAGCAGCATGACCGGCTCACTAAAACGTGGCAACTTTAGATCCACTGACCATGCCTCAAGGAACTAAATCCTAAATAAAGAAAATGGAAAAGCAAACTATGAAATAGCCAATAATCTTTATTTTGTACTCCCCCACCCGCCATCCCTCTTCAAAAAGCACTACCGGGTATATTTGTGCATGTGAAAATATCGTATAAATTTAGAATGATCTCAAATTAATAAAACAAAAAAAAACCCATGTATATCTCAACATAGATGCTTTGTTTCTTTGAAGGAATAGAAAAATTTTGGCTTCTAGAACAAGGAGGGCAATGAATACTGTACTCTTAAAAGGTCTACTCCATTTCCACTGATTTTCAAGTTAACATTCATGGCAGAAAACTTCATTTCTCTAATCACATAATATTATTTTTTAAAATATGACTAATTCATACACTAATATTAATTTACTTGGCATTAAAAAAATCACAATTTCTATTAATATATTTGTATTAGATCCAAAGCCCATATTCTAGCATTCAAGATAATGCATTACACTGGCCCAAACTGGGATTATTTCAAAATCAAGTAAAAGTCCATATTTATTCCAAAGTTGCTAAAATATGCTAATAAAATTAAATTTGATGTTTTACATTAAAAATAAAATATTTGGTTTATCTCTCAGACATCTATAACATATAATAAATAGTGGGCAGTATAGTAATATAATAAAGTTTTGTGATACCCTGAAATTTGATGTTTTCTTAAAAAAATTCATAATATACTTCATTTCAGCCACAATATCAATGAACAACAGATTTGCAGAAATAAAACAATATAAACACAAAATGCTACAGTATGTTTTTGTTTTTGTTTTTTTACTTTCCGGGAATCTACATGTCCTTGTAATTAACGTTAAGTCCAAGAAATGTACAGAAAACAAAACAGATAACAAAACAATTTTAAATCATAAACTATAGATTTAAATTGCCTTGTTTTCCTTCTAACTGCCAGGGTCCTCTTTTACCCGACAGTGTTTTGGACACTGTGCAGGTTCAGCTCAAGGTAAATTACTTTGAACTATGGCTCTTTTTTCCAGCCTTCTTGCTATGTACAGCAGTAATTACAGACATGGCTGAAATCACAGTGGATTTCAGAGAAAGCCAGAATTAAACACGATAAAAAATTTTAAAAATAGCTACTTCATAAATATTTATTATTTACATTTAGGGGAGATCTTCTAGTCTGGAGAATTTTTATACAAGTATCAATAGCTGAAATGTATGAGCAGTAAGAACTCCAGCAGTTAAAGAAGGGCAAAGTTAGAATGCAACAAAGATAGAAAGTATGTTAAAGTCAACAAAAATAATCTGCACAAAAGCAAACAGGACATGATAGAAACCTTTTTCTTAAAAAATATAAGGTATTTCACAAAAGCCTGAACATTGTACATGTTAGTACTAAAAACGGGGGCAGGGGGAGAGGAGGTTTCATATATTTTCATCACAAAAATATTTACCAACACTCCAACTGGAGTTTTCTTTTATGTTATTATGATTATCTTACTATAGAGGGAACGAGGTTGAAAACTGTATACAGACTAATGATATCATCCTTAAATTACAGTCAAGGCAGTTTACACATTATCTTCTCATCTAGTATCTTAATGCAAAGGCCCTGGAGAGAGTAAAGAAAATCAAAAGGGAAGATTATGGTCTTTTTATTAATAATACTTGTCACTGGTAATAGAAAAATGGAGCCGTGGCAGTCCTTTAGCCACACTCCAGCTTGAGTTTTTCTTCAATCTCACTACATGGAGCCACAGGCCAGTCTGTTTCAAAAGGGAAAAAGCCAGAGTAGACGGTGCGTTCTTGTCCTCAGTCTTCCAGGAGTCATTCTCCAGAGGAATCTGGTGATGGGAGGGCAGAAGCACCACCGCCCCTTCAAGACGCCAGGGAAGCCCTGCAGCGATGCTGCGCTGTCCACACTGCAGGGAGGGTCAGTGTGCCCGGTGCTTTCTCTTTTTGTGCTTTTTGTCCTTCTTCTTGTTGGCACACTTAGGGCAGAACCACTGCATTTCTTCTGGTGGTGCAGCCATTATTCCAACACAGGGCCTGCCCATGAAAATAAACAGGTTGCAGATAATCAAGCTTTAAATATATATATAGTCATGTATATTATGATAATACATATACATATATACATATATTTTCCCTTCTATGTTTTCAAATAATTTTAAGTAATTACACAACCTTTAAGTCTATTATGGTATAGTTACCCAAAACTCAAGACAAACAGCTCTACTTTCTGTAGCAGTACTGCTGGATGTATGGATGATTACATTCCATAATGCCTCTTCATAGGCGCTAGTGGAGAAATTAATTAGCTCGTTCATCCTTTCAGCTGGGAAGAGCATAATTCTTCTGAGCAACAGTTTTGTTTTATATTATAGATACCATATATCATCTAACTGAAAGGGTTTCTCTTCTTATAGCTGACATTTTAAGATAAAATGAGATTATCTGTATAAATTCTGCTCAAGTTTCCTCAGTTTGGGAAACTATTGAAGAGGTAAAAAGACCAGACAAGCTATGTATTTCTGCACTTTGTGACATGTGACATTAGTTACCTCAATGTTATTGGCAAGTGTGCAGCTCTTAGAGAAAACTGCTAGAAACAAAAGAAAGGGAAGCTCTATACTCCTTTCTTTCCTTTCATAAGGATAAATAAGCTAAACAAAGTACTTGGAATTCAGGCTGCATAACAGCAGTCCAAAGATTCCCGATTTTTGCAATTAATTATACTTTGCTGATTTTGCTCTGCACACTATTTAGGATAGCGGCTGAATTGGGAGAAAATCTCAACTGGATCAGGTCACTGCTCTCCCAGGATTTGGTCGGGCACTCACCAGTGGTACCAGTCGTCACAGTCATCACAGCCGATCATGGGACTCCCGTCGTCAGGCTTGTTACACCCAGGACAGATCCAGATCTGGTTGCCCCACTCATCTCTGATCTGAGGTTTTTAAAGGGGGAGGGGACAGAAACAGAATGGGAGGGATGGGATAGGAAGAAAAGAACCAAAAGAAGGATAGGATCAGAATGATTATATTGTAAACCTAACAAAATAATAAACAGGAAAAAACCCCACCCCAGTAGATTAGCTATTACAGTTCTGATCATGGTCAGCACTGTTCTGGGATTAAGTGAAAAAAGGAAATAGCTACTAAGTGCTCAATGATAAGACATTTCAAATGAATTTTTTAAATCTTTTTCTATAAATCATAAAAATAAAGCATCTTATGATCACTTCTGTGAACAATATGATCTGTCATCACCTTTATCTTAAAAAATGCTATCTGCACCTAACTTCTTATGACAAGGGTTTTTCCGGCAGTAACAACTGCTGTTTTTGAAGGCTATAGAGCTCAACAATATGTTGTTTCTTCAATCACATTCATAGGCATGGAATTAATATATACAGCCAAATGTGCAGGTATCGCCACATTACTTATTAGCCAAAACCTTCTCCTGAACTAGCTGATAAGATCAAGGATATAAAAGAGCTGTTACTAAGTAACTTTCCATTCCTTTTATGACATTTTCAGTAAAGTACAATCAAGTGAAGGGCAAATGAAATAAGGGACTCAGGAGACCAAAGAACTACACATGGTAACATTAAATTCACTTAACTTAGTAGTTCTGAGTAAGAGGCAGCCTTATGAATTCCACACTAACAAGACCAATTTGGAAAAAACTATTTCATAATGGACATTTAAAGATAGCAACAACTAAAAGCTAATGTTCAAAAATTTTTACAGTAACAACTTCATTGTTTATTGTACAAGAGGTAACCTCTTCCTAGATTTTCAAATACAACACTGACTTGATATGCAAAAAAAAAAAAAAGAAAAAGAAATGCTTTTCTGTGTGGGTGACAGGTTTCTTGGAGGCATAGGCATTTCATTCTGCTGAAGTGCTAGTCTATTTTTGATAGTTTCTACAAACACAAATTAAGCTGATATGAAAGTATCCTAAAGACATCTGTGGGCACCTGCATCTTTGACTGAGCACATTCCAATTTCCAGAGAACCAGCAGTTACCTTGTGCCAGCTGTCTAAGGTTAAGAATGGTCCAGAACCCCAAGTCTTGAAGCTGCCATGCTTGATCAATCCTGCGCTAGTTGATTTTTCTTAAAATTTTATGGTCGTGACTGTTTCTACCTGAGAAATTTGCCAGAGCATCATAACAACTAATGCCCAAAACTGCAGTTTACTAAGTTATTTCAAACCTCTGACTTGGCTTAATAATCATTAAACAACCCTGGGTGGGTCAAGAATGGGGGAGCCGAGTTACAGGGATATAGATGTCAAGCTCGGAGCCACACTGCCAGGAGTGAAAGATCAGTCTTCTGCTCCATGTACTAGTTATGTGTGTCCTCCAAATCACATATTCTGTCTCATTAGAACAGAGAAGACTTTTCATCTGTATTATTTACATATCCAATACATCTCTAGGAAGTTAGTGCAAAAATCTGGAGAATTAGCTAAAGCCATAAAATCACCTAACACTAATCCCTTAGATACAGATGAAGAAAGAGGATGAGGATGCTAAATATAAAATCTTTCCTCATCAACCCATACAGATGATTTTGCTTCAGTTAAACACTTTATAATAGATGGTCCCTGACTGGGCAAATTGGATAACGAGAAATTTTTGCATCAAATCTTCTATTTTTGCCTTGAATTGCCAATGTCATACTTTCCTGTTAATTTTTATCTTTACTGAGACAAAAATTGAAAAATTTTGAGATTTTTTTCTTCTCATCCTTCTTTGTATCATTACAGTGCCTCTATATTTAATGATTTGTTGACTTTTTTTTTTTCCAAAATTCTTTTCCTTAACAACAAATACCATCCTTATCATTTTCTGACTACCTAATCATCCAGAAAGATCTCTGTCACCACAGGTCCAAAGATCATACTCTATATATTTGGGGGGTCATGGCAATGGCAGTTCACTGTTATGTGCCTAAAATCTTTTGTTGTCTGTTCCTGTGTAACTCTACAGTGCCAGAAGAACATATTTATATACATACTTTGTTATTAGCTTGAATTCAGAGTATGAATAAGACCTAGGTACTATTAAATATAGAAAATACCTGAAACCAACTCCCATGACAACAATGTGCACTCATTCAACAAGGTAAATTTTGTGATGTGAAGACAGGCTGCAGTACTCAGAAGCTCTGTGGCCTGAAAGTTCATTTCCATTCAGTACACAAGCTCTAGTGTATTCTGGACCTTAGCCAATGAAATACTACAATTAGTGCTGCTACTCAGAAACACCAGCTGGCCCATGAGATCTGTGTACATTACATAAATTAGACTCATGTGAAAAATTTAACTGCTTGATCAAGAAATTAATCATGGAATTTAAATATCACTAATCATCCCTACATAATAGTATATATGTATATAATCATATTCCAAAACAACATCAAATTAAAATAATGCTTTGACATTATTTATGGAATCTAAATATGCGAATGCTGCAATACAAAACTTTGAGCCAAAAGCAATACCTTTCTAGTCTTTAGAATTGCTTCTAAAATTCAATAATGATACACTTGACACTGCTTTTAATTGAAAAGTTTCATGATAAAACTACATTCTTAAATAACTTGTTCTTAAACACTACAGAATAAAATGTAGCTCACCACGTAAGTGCTGACAGTCTCTGTCACCACACTCCGGACCGGGGCTTTGGAACTTCCAGCTCCAGAGAAGGCAGGGGACGGAGATGTCATTAAAGCAGGGGATGTGGTGGACTGTGCAAGGAGTGGCAAAGGCACGGGGGCAGGAGTCACGTGCACAGGTACAGGAGCAGGGGCCGGTGGGGGCGGTGGGGTCTTGGGTCTGTTCAGAGAAGGAGCTGGCTTAGCCTCGGGAGCTGGAACCACTTTGCTGATAACACTGTTGATAAAGAAAAGGGAGAGTCCAAATAGTCAAAAGTCAAATCATGTATTTAAAAACATGATTCCAAAATAGCTTTCTTCTTTTCATAGCAAAATACCAAATTCAGAGTCCAGGGGTAGCTAAAGACATCAGAGTTCAAGGCCTTTTATCAATTCATCTCTCAGTGAATTCAGACTAATTCTTCATTTTCTTAAATTGACTCTCAATGACCTGATATTTAGACATTTTTAGCAACTAATATACATGAACTGCTCACAGAAATGGATCTGCTTTTGCAATGAGCAGGGTAGGCTGTTTGTTTCTTTCTGGGCAGGATTATACCATCCTATATTGACTTCAAATTTGGCCTGTGAAATATGACTGGAATTCTCAGTGGCTCTTCTGAATAGAAGTTTTGAGAGCCACCACAAAATCCAGTTTTTCCCTTTTCTCTCTGCCAGGAGTGCCCTAGATCCTTGGACAGTTTAGCTCCTTCAGTTACACTGCAGGATGAAGAGGATGTGGGGCAGAGCCATGGCAGCCATGTCACAGGTGTGAGAAGTGAACATTTACTGTTGGAGGTCACTCAGCTGTGGGTGTTGTTAATAACCACATGGCAGCCAGGCCTAGTAACTGTTTACAAGTCAATCTTTACTGCTTTACTCAAGTGTTTCTTATTCTAATGCAGACTGCCACTGAAAATGGAAATTGGATGATTTTCTTGCTTGGGCTTCATTTAGTTTAACTTAGGAATCTCAGAAGGGCTTGGGAGACGTTAAGTGGTAGGAGGGGCATATTGTTCTGTTCCCTAGGAGGGAAACAGCAGCTCCAGTCTTTCCTGGTGATGTCACAATGAATCACTAGAGCTGAATGAGGATGATCCATGTTTTCATAAACAATAACATTCAGAGATTCAGAGAACTCTTCCTCAATAAAAGCAAGATTAAATATAAAGATATACTGGACTAAATGTAAAGATACCTTAAATTCAAATTCTGGACCAGGTACAGCTGGTTATGTGATCATAGGTAAGTCATTTTAAAACACTGTTTACTGATCATCTATAAAAAGTTTAATATAAAACTAGGTACTTAACAAATATCACCTCATCTAGCCCTCACAAAACAGCTTCAAAGCAATACCTTGAAAAAATTTGCAGACCACTAATGGAAGAGCCAGGATCTAAACTCAGGCAATCTGTTTTCAGGCCCTGTGATCTTAGAAATGACACTATACTGTCTCTCAATTTTTACTGAGTTTTGCCTTATATATAAGGTAGAAGGAGTTCAAAGTGCTTTAAATATAACTGCCTCCATGGCATTTATAGGGTAAATACCAGCTATTTTTATGACTAGATTAAATTTAAAAATACTATTTTTGGAAGAAGCAGTTTCTCATAATAGTTTAAAACATGGTGCTGGTATCAAACTAAAAGGAAAGTCAATACACAGAAAGGTTAAGTAGAACACACGTGTTTTTCCTTGAGGGCAGTTGTACATAATGTGAATTTGATCTTTGATTCTGATAAAGATGACAGGTATCAAAATCCAGGGCCTGCCCAGGTGAACAGTCTTTAATAGAATTTCTCTCCACATTAATGACTTCCAAGGCTACAATGGTTAGGTAAGGATGAAGCAGAATCTCTTAAGTTTTTGGCCTTGATAGTCCAGGACACTGTATTTAAAGTAATTTAGCTGTGTAATATGCCCTAGCATCAGTACTAATCATACTATTAATACAAAGGACTATTTAAGGGGGAAAATAAGCAGCATATAATCAATGGTAACCAAACATACAAGGAGGTAAGGTAGCATGGGGGAGAATCAGAAGAAATAACAGACTGTATAAAGAGATCCATAAAAACTATAGATACATAATTATCAACTATAAAGCAACTCTGGTTACAATATCTTTAAAAAAGAGAGTTGAAATTATCTACTAAGAGGTTATAGAGAGAAAACTAACAGATTTGAAAACAAACAGACCTAGAAATAAAATATTCAGTAACTGAAATTTAAAACTCAATGAGTGGCAAACTATAAATTAAATAGTAGGACCAAAGAAATAATCTAGAATGTAACCTGCTGAAGCAAAGAGAATAAAACAAAGCATTTATTTAGTACATGTTAAGCCATAATTTTAAAGACAGACTGGGGCAGAGGCAAATTGTTAAGAATATCTGAAACTAGTATAGGACTGATGAAAGATACCAATACACAGACTTTTAAGAAGCCTAACAATGCCTAGGCAAGGGAATGTGTTCTTACACAATGGACTATGGTGAAGGTGTACAGGTGAATTGGTGGTGGGAATTCTATGGGGAATACACTTGAGAAAAGAAGGCATATATATATATATATATAAAATCAAATAAATTTAAAAATTTTTTGGTTTATTTATAGTGGCTGGATCAATGGGTAAAGAACCCACCTACAGGGAGGGCCAGCTGTATTCTAATGTTCTTCTATTATCCACAAGGTATAAAGGTATTAACTTTAAAATGCGATAACTTCTAGGAGAGTCATGCAAAGATTAGAAATAAAGTGTTACTACAAAAGTAGTATGGAGAAAAATGGAATGATAAAAAAGCTAATTCTTCTAATAAAAGACAGAAAGAACAGGAAGACAAAAAAAGTTGAAAATATGATAGATTTTAATTCAAAGTTCAAAAAACTGTATCATGTAAATGGTCAAAATGATTCAATAGTTATGAAACCCAGCACTGTTATTTATAAGAGACATGCTGAGCAATAGAAAGGTTGAAAGAGGCTAGAGTAAAGAGGTACATAAATGCAAAGATTGTAAGTTAAGAACTGCCAGTGATAATGATGGTTACTTTGTAATGATGGATGCTTCCAATGTGTCAGGAAGGTGTAACAATTTAGAGTTTGAGTGCATCTAAAAATCTTTCCCCAGAATATATAAAGTAAAATTGACAGACTATAACAGATAAATCCACAAGTGTAAGTGGAGATTTCAGCACATACCGATTTAACTTAGAGAGTAAGCAATCAAAAACCCAGTAAAAATAGAGGCTTGAAGAAAATAACCATTGATGAACATTAAAAAACACTGTATCAGGGCCCTCTCTTGTGGCACACTGGGTTAAAGCACAGCACTGTGAAGCTACCACAGCCACTGCAGCACAAGTTTGATCCCCAGCCAGGGAGGTGACCCACATGTCATGGCAGAACTCTCCTGGTCCGCCAGCTGCTCCCCACCAGTGTATTTCAGTCCATCTGTCTGTTCTGCTCCCCACTCTGGTGATGGTGAATCCTCTCACCGCCCACATCTCTGACCTGTACCCCAGTTGTGTATGAATAAATAAATAAATCTTTAAAAACAACACGGTATTTAACAAATACAGAACATTCATCCTTTTCAAGAATACATTGAAAACAGTGATCAAACATATTTCATTTGACAAAAGAATAATTTCAACAGTCTGAACATATACTTGTTACCTGGACTATATTGGTAGTGTAACTAAATTGAGTATATCATCATTAACAGCAGAGAAGAAAAGGGTAGGGGGTAAACTCCATGAAAATGATGCTGTTTTTTATACCTAATTAAAAGAATAAATTTGAACAATCTTTGGATATTAAGGTTAATTCACAGTCTTGGGTCTTTTCAAAGAAAAGACCCATTATCACTGGCAGTTTCTTCATATCCTAATTATGTATACCTCTGTCATTATTGCATACATTAGGCAGAATACTTCTAAGTTTCTTATTTGTCTTTGAGTTATTTTCAGATCAACTTTAATGAGTTTAATACCTAAAACTGCAGTGAGAACAGTAAGAACTCTTCTATAAAATATTTTACTTTCATGTACTTTTATCTTTCTAAAATATTTTAGAACCATCCATTCCCACTTTGTTTTCTCCTGACGATCTTCCTTCTACACTACTTAATAAGTGCCATGACCCCTCAGTATTCTGTTTGCCAGTATGGACTCCAATTCTTATCTACCAAATCATTCTCAAACCAAGAGTAATTATCACACCAATGCAAGGTACAAGCACATCATGAAGATTTCATTCTCATTATTTTCTGGAAATGTTTAAAATTGTTTAAGATTACACTGAACATATAATAAATTTGTTTCACCAGAGTCTTTTCTAATCCTTTTTCATTTTCTCCCTATTTAAAAAAAAAATCCTCCCTTGTTTGTAATGGTGTCCTTGAGAGTGGCTTAGCATTACAGCATAGTCTGTGGACATAAACAAATTGTTTGACCTATTTTATAAGGTAGTACATGAAATCTCAGAAATATCTTACACATAGATTATTTTCAATTTAGAGAAGTGGCATTTAAATGAAAATTATTCCTTCTCCAAAGTCAAATAAGCTCAATTCAATTATTACTTTTAAATAAATAAAACTATGTTTATACACACACATATAGATATATATATATCTCATTCATATTTTGTGAGTAGTCAAAGAAAAAGCATTAAAGCAAATTTGCAGTGTTGATGGACATGTCCTAAGTTTTGTTTTAAAGAAATTTGATTTATATTATATGGGCAATAAATTTTTTACAACTCCTTTGAATTTCATGAGAATAATCATTAGAGTTTAAAGTTAATTTTCATTTTAACTGCTTAAATTTCCTTTGTTGTAAATTCATACAGTTTTGAGAATAAACCTTTTATTATCTCTTCAACTTTGAACATCACAGAAATGTAAACAATATGAACTTTCTTATTGCTTGTAAGATAAACATCATATAACCTAATTTGATCATTGTAAAAATAATTTTGGATTCTAACTGGCTTTCACAGTCAATTTATTGTTTCTATACTTCTAATCAGTATTTTGCTTCACTCTTTTCTTGAAATATCACTCTCTCCTTCTTAGTTAATTGCATAGTAAGTTCTCCTCCAATGCTTTCTGTTGAATAAGCAATGTCTCTTAGAGTAACCAATACTGCCCACAGCTGTGTCCCACAATGGTTCCATGCTGCTAACATTACATCTTTTGAAGGATTTGATCAGAGTGCCCTAACTACT